AAGAAGCCCGTCGTAGAATAAATACTGCTTCAATGACTTTTGCGGATTGGGATTTCTGGCCCCGGAGGCTGCATCGAATGGTGGTTCGAATGGACGGGTTCGGGATGTCGGAAAATTGAAAATTGAACTTCTCGTCCATAAACCGAGCGGGACCGGCTGCATTGTAGCAGTAGCGATGCTGCCAATGCCACCGCCGCCGGTTCTATTGAGCTGTGTAACAATTTAAGATTATGTGGCTTGAATAGGTAGGTGCTTTAAAAACGATGCCAAACACTTGTCGGAAGCGAGAAGGAGCTGCACAAAACGTCGATATACTGCTGAGGTTGCCAGTTGTGGTACGAACGGCGTTTCATGTGTATTGTACATGTATGATGTTGCAAATGCTTCCGGAACGTTATTCCGGTACACTGGAATTGTGTAACAATGAAGAGCAGTTCTTCCCAGCATCCCGCTGGTTATCGTACACCATCGTTTGTGCTACCAACAGCCAGCAGCTAGCACCTAGAACTAGATGGAAGTGCGGTGTTTTGCATGAGAGTTGTATATTTTTACTGGCCGTTGAAAGGAATCGTTTTCAAAAGAGCAGGAAAAGGAATGTTTTTCGGTTGTAAAGCGGTTGTTGGTAACTCCTAGCAAGCACGTGTGTTTCCACAAGCTGAGTATAATTTGCACAAACGAGCTGATTCCAAATTGAGTTTGCTCTCAAGGCAAACATGAATAGTAAATAAAATTAATTAGATTGTGTTAGCTTCCCGGCAATCGATATGGAATTCTGCAAACAGGAATCATTCGGCATCGGATTAGTTGTGGGAAAGATAAGAATGCATGGTTGGTAGTGACTAAGTTGCGGGAATAATGATTTTGAAATAATACTTAAGTTACCATATGCTATTGAATTAAAAAATACCTTTTTGTTGAAGAGCCTAAATTTCATGCTTCATTCATTCCTCTCATCTAATCTAATCTATCACCAACACAGCTTTTGAATACCCTCGAGGCACAACAAAGACAACCCTATATCCCCATCAGAGACGCGTTGGGAACCCGCGATTTCTGCTATATGCAGTCGATTTATTGATTTATTTTTGTTTGTCTTGTCCCTCCGTGTCGATGAGTGTTATTGTCGCCCACTGGTCACCATAGCCGGTTGAACTCCAGAGACGAATCTAGAACCGCACTGCTGTTCATACTGGCGACTACGCTTCGATGAGACAAGACAACTCTTCCCTCAGCTCCTACCCTGATCCTATCCTTCGACAATGTACCCACCTAGCCTCGGGTAAGCCGCGAGTATTCGGCCCAACTCCTACTGGACATAGAAATAAGTTAATTTTGTTACAACCAATGAACAATGAATTATCGGCTCCGAACAGCTAACGCGATTGAGCTTACCAAATAAACGAACTAGATAAAACAAAAAACACCAACACAGCCAGATTGATAAACCTCCATCATTTTTCTTGTCTATTTGATTTGTGTTTCACATGGAAGATGCGTCACACATACCAAAACGACCAGGGGTACTGTGCAGCATGCATTTTAGGGGCAAGATGATTCAGAAAACATCGGACCTGTTTAAATCCATGATTTAAACACGATGATTCAGAATCCAATAAATAAATGGATGAAACGTGGACATCTCGCTCCGTTTTTGGAAATTATATGATTGGTTGGTCGTTGGAAGCATCTTACCTAGAAAGGTTAAAGTGATGCTCCATTTTCCTCTGACGGTTGGGACATGATCACTAACTTCTTAGCAAGGCATAATAAATAACAAGGACTAAAACGGTTCCTTTGAGTACTGAAAAATCCTAGGAACTCTAGTTTTAAGTTGTCAGGACTGGGGTTCGGTGGTAGATCTTAAACCAGTAACGCACCACAAGCTTGATAAATTCCTCTAATTTTATCAAACTTCTCAACGGAATTCTTTATAAATAGGTTTAGAAATGACTTTAGTAAGTTTCCTTGATTTACGTTCGTTTATCGGGTTTGTGATTGTCGTGTGATTTACTACTAGACGATTTAGATTGGTCGATAATTAGTTAACTCATATTATTAGTAAAACGAACGGAAATCAAAGTTGGATAGTATTCTAGGATAGAGCAAGTTTGAAATTTGAAAGAAGAAGAAATATTACACTTACATGGGTGCTATGAAGAATGTTCTGCGCTTATCAAATACGAAATGTGCTGCGTCCATCAGGTACTTATATTTATGATCTTATTTGGGCCGTCTTTTGCGCTCTTGACAAATGTTCACCAATTCTCCGAAGAACATTTCAGGTCCATTCGACAGTTGTTTCAAGATCTAAATTCAGAAAACTTTAAAGATATTGGGAGGCCCTTACTAACCTTACCAATCAGGCTAAGGCCTTGTTGCCCTCTGCTGTCCGAAGAAGTCGTCTCCACTCTACTCGATCCATGGCCACAGTTCGCCAGCCTCGTAGTCTGCAAAGGGTCCGCAGGTCACCTTCTACTTGGTCGATCCACCTTGCCCGCTGCGCGCCTCTTCTTCTTGTTCCTGTTGGGTCGCTTTCTAGAATCATTTTCACTGATTCGTCGTGCGGCATTCTAACGACGTGCCCAGCCCACCGTAGTCGCCCAATTTTTTGCAATGTGGACGATGGATGGTTCTCCCAGCAGCTGGTGCAATTCGTGGTTCATTCGCCTCCTCCACGTTCCGTCATCCATCTGCACTCCACCGTAGACAGTAAACTTTGTGCGGCGGCGAATTTTATTCGACCGGAGCGTCCTCCGGAGTCCAAAGTAGGCAGGATTCCCTGCCATAATGCGTCTTTGAATTTCTCTGCTGGTATCATTTTTGGCGCCCAAATACACGAACTCATCGACCACCTCGATTTCGTCACCGTCAATCTGAACTCGGGGTGGGAGGCTAACATGGTCTTCCCTAGAACCTCTTCCTTTCATATATTTTGTCTTTGATGCGTTGATGGCAAGTCAAATCCGCCTAGCTTCAGCCTTCAGTCTGATGTACGTTTCCACCATCATCTCAAAGTTCCGTGCCATAATGTCAATGTCATCGGCGAAGCCAAGGAGCTGGATGGACTTCCTGAATATCGTGCCACTCGTGTCCATCTCAGCTCTTCTGATCACACCTTCTAACGCGATGTTGAACAGCAGACACGAAATTCCATCACCATTTCAAAGGGACTCGAGAGTGTCCACGATACTTGAACAACGCACATCACTCGATCCATCGTCGCGTGGGCACCCATGAATCCCGCCTGGTATTGCCCCACGAACTCTCTTGCAAATGGTGACTGGCGGCGGCATAAAATTTGGGAGAGAACTTTGAAGGCGGCACTCAGCAGTGTGATCGCGCGGTAGTTGCAGCAATCCAACTTGTCGCCCTTTTTGTAGATTGGGCATACGACACCTTCCATCCACTCCTCCGGTAATATCTCCTCCTCCCAAATCTTGGCAATCACCATCGTATTTTAAATATTGGGAGTCCCATGAATGTTGTTAACATTACTGGAACTTTAATGAAGTTCCAAGGATTCGAGGAAAATATTGAAACCATTATGTTAGCTCCATCAACATCAGAAAAGCTACGGAAACTATCACATAGAAGCTCTGAGAACTTCACGGAAGATCCAAAAAATGTCAGGGTAGTTTCGAGAACTTCAAGAAGGTTTAGAACTACACGGAAGTGTTAAGATCTTTAACGTTAGGTTCCGATAGTATCAGAGCAGTTCCATAGAGCTTCAGGCCAGTTCCATTAAATTCGGAAAAATGGCAGGATGACTAAAGAACATTACTTGAGTGTAAAGACCTGAAGGGAAGTTACGTGAACTTCGGCACAGTTTTGAGAACTTCAGTGCAATTCCATGAATATCAGGAAAAATGCGAATTAGAATTGGAATTTCTAAAATTAAAGAAACCCTAAAAGTTCAGAGAACTTAAGAAAAAATGCGGAAGCTTCTCAGAAGCTTCAATGAATTCACGGAAGTGCAAAGAAAGTTGGGAAGTTTAGATATCTTCCGAACAGCTGCATTGATTTCAGAGCAATTCCAAAAACATCCGCAGAATAATACCGAAAACTTCAGATGGACGAAACAATGTTTAGAAACTGTAAAAACTGGCCACCATAGCCGGTCAAACTCCTGACGAAGCTCCCAAGTAGCACAATTCTGTCCCATAAAGTTGCAGCAACTTGTTTATAACTGAAATAAGTCGTATATAAGTTTCCAAGACAACTTTATAACAAGGGTGCTACTAGGGCTAGAACCGCACAACCGTTCATACTGGCGAAATCGCTCTCATGAGACAACGAAACCCCACCCAAGCTCCTCCCCTGATCCTATCCTTCGAAAATGTACCCCTCTAACCTCGGGTAAGCCGCGAGTAGTCCACCCAACTCCTACTAGACATAGAATTAAGTGAATGTTGTTGCAAATAATGAACAATGACTTATCGGCTCCGTTAAGCTTACGCGATTGAGTCTTCTAGATAAACGAACTAGATAAAAAAGAAACTGTAAATAAGTTAGGAGAACAGACTGCGGGATTATAAGGGATGTTGTCAGTACTTCTATAATGTTTCGGAAACTTCAAAGAAGCTTCGAGAACTTCAAAATGGATCCATCAGCATCAGGGAAACAGCAGGAACTTTTAAGAAGTTCTAGAAAAATTCCAGAAGCCCAGTAGCGGTAGTTGAGCCATGTAGTCGAGCCATCGTTTCTTAATGGGCGTTGGGAGTTCTTGATCCCAACCCCAAATCAATCCATCGTTGGTCTTTAGAGTCCACAAAGCTTGCATAAACAGCTTCGCTGTTGTGATGACGGGTCCCACCAGGCCAAGTGGGTCAAAAAGGCGAGCTATTTGGGAAAGAGCAATGCGTTTGGTAAGTGGGATGTCATCGGTCGTTGGTGTATCGATCTTGTATCGGAGTCAGTCGTTGGTTCCCAGTGCAATCCTAAACTGGTCACGATCCAGATCCACGGACGTCTTTAGGGCACGGTTGTCTTGCGAACATCTTCTAGAACGGCTTCTTCGTTTCAAACCCATTTCCGCAGTTCAAACCCTCCCTTCCGAGAAGAGATTCCAGCTGCTTTCGTAGTGTGATAGCTTCTTCTACTGTGTCCGCTTCGGAAAATGAATCGTCCACGTAGAAATCTTTCTTGAGAATACCGGCAGCTTCTGGAAAATCGTGCTGCTCGTCGTCCGCCAGCTGCTGGAGCACGCGTGTGGCAAGAAACGGCGCGCTGGTGGTACCGTAAGTAACGGTTTTTAATTCATATGTCTGCAGAGGGGATTCAGGCGATGGACTCCATACGAGGTGCTTTAGCTTGTTGCTGCGTTGGTCCGTTAAGATCTGTCGGTACATCTGTTTCACAACGGCGTTGAGCAGAATAGGGCGGATTCTGGATCGCATTGTTATCGATCGTAGTTCTTCTTGCACTATGGGTCCGACCATTCGATGTGCGACAAGACGCGTCGAAAACCACGCGTACCTTAGTGGTCGTACTGTCTGCTCGTATTACGGCATGATGAGGCAAATGGTAGGAAGGATGTTGCGATTGGTAGTCTGGTACCACCTCCATATAGCCTAGCTGAAAGTACTCGTCCACGAACGCTCGGTACTGGTTGCCTAGTTCGTCGTTCTTAGCGAGCTGACCTCGTGGTAGACGAAAGCGACGAATAGCTGTGCGACGATTGTCACCGAGATTGGAGTGAACATCTTCCTTTATGGGTAGAGATACGGCATAGCGACCTTCGGGAGTTCTAGAGACTGTCCGGCGAAAGTGCTCTTCGCAAGATCGGTGACTGTTAGCGATGACGGGATTTGTCGAACGGGTATCGGTTGTCTTGCCAGATACAACCCAGACTAGTACAGAATTGACTAGATTCGGTAGAGACTCACCAAGCTCAATCCGACCGGACACTTTGAAGAGGTCAAAGAAGATTTCTGCCCCCAATACTAGTTGGACGGGTCTGGATCGTAGAACGACGGGACTGCAAGCTGAATTCTCGGGGGAATTTCTCAGGAAGAGGTGTCTACAGATACTGACGGGAGGATCAAGAATTCCACAGTGGTAGAATAATCACAAGTACGTGAACGAATAGTAGATTGGAGTTTGTGACGAGCATACGTTGAAGATTGTCCGATACCAGCGATCGGAAAGAGGATCTTGGTGCGTTTGGCCTTCATCTGCTGGGCGAGAGATTCAGTCATAAAGCAGCACTCACTTCCCGAATCGAAGAGTGCTCTGGCAGGATGCTTTTCTCCTTCAATGTAGAAGACGAACAGCTTACGGGTTCAGTAGCGGCTGAGGCGGAGCTTCTCGGTTGTTCTTCGCCTACAGGGACAGAAGAAACTTTCGGTTGAGCGGCGTCGGCAGTCCTGGAGTTCACAGCAACTGGAGCGTCGGTGGGGCAGAGTTGAGTATGGTGGCGATTTCTACACTTGCGGCAAGTACTGGATGAGAGGCAGTCCCGTGCTTGGTGGCCCTTTTGTAAACAATTGCGGCATAGTTGGGGGCGACGGACATCCCTTTGCTTATCTTCTACTGAAATTTTCGAGAAAACTGCGCATTGATACAAAGGATGATGATCGGAACAGACGAGACACTTGCGATAGTTCTGCTGGCTGTCTCCACGGCTGGTGACGGGACGCTGAACAGGCTTCTTTGTGTAAGTTGACGGAGGAGGTTCAGTTGTCTTGTTGATTGACTGTAGAACCGTGACTCTTCGTTGAATGAAAGCCGTTAGGTTGGTGAAGGATTTGTAAATCTCCTCTAACCTCAAGACGACCACGAGTATTTGATTCAATCCTTGTAATTCTAGATTTAAGATTAGGATTAAGTATGTATAACGAAAATGATAACTTGGCTCTGTAAAGTTTATTCGATTGAGCCTGTACAAATAAATCAAATCATAAAAAAAAGTCGGTGAAGGTGATCTGATTCTTCGTCGATGAGTATTCTTCTCTGTCACGTCGAGTGGTGTTGCCGAGCCTTATGCTGAGCATTCGTATCAGAAGTATGTCCCAGAATTCGGTCCCAACTGTTTCCGTATTCCCACATTCGCTTCGAACTTCTCAACGAGTGAGTGCAACTCCGTCGCTGATTCCCTTTTCAGCGAGGGAAACTCAAAGAGCGAGTCTACGTACGACTGTTTCAGTCTTACAGAGTTCTGATAATGTTCTGTCAACAATTGTCAGCGCTAATCGTGATGGTTTATATCAGCTTGAGGGCATCTCCGGATAAGGAAGACCGCAAGTAATAGAACTTTTGTATATTGGAGAGTTCGTGAGATGAGTGAGACAAATAGGCCGTGGAAGTTCAACCAGCTATCTAGTTGACCAGAGAAAACAGGTAGCTTCACGTCAGGTAGTCGAACGCAAGACGGTTGTAGAGGTGCTTGCGCATTTCAACGAGGGTTAGGTGACTGTATCATAGCAGGTGATTTATTGACCGAAAGTAAGAACCCCTTCACACGGTAGTAGGTTGACTCAAAATCTGTACGGACTTTCAGGTACTGGAAGAAGAGAACGGATCTGTAAAGCGGAAGACCACGTAGCTCGAAAGGGCGGGGGTATTGGATTTGGAAGGGTAATTACCTTGTAAAGGCAATTTGAATGCCTTGTATGAATGTTCTAGAACAGCTAACTTCCTTGACACGTGGCGGGCGTCGATACAGCGGGTCCAATGAAGATTCTGGGCTGGCGGACAAGCGGAGTTCACGTTTATCCGGCTCGAAGGACCAATGCCGATAACCACCGCAGATGGAGATAAATATTTCGGAGGATCTTCACTGGTTTAACCCACAGGTAAGTTCTTTACAAGTGAGTACCACGCACTAATCAGGTTCTTACGCCACTAACTTTATTTTTTTTTTTAATTCACCGTTCAACTTATTTTAATTAACTATAAAAGTAATTAACTTCACTTAATTTTACTTCAAATCCACATTGTACCAAATAAAATTCTCACTGTCCAATTTGTCTCGTCTCAACCACTCGGCACTGATGATAAGGGCTCCGCCTATAGGATGCTAGAACAACCAAAGAGATTTATTTATGCTGCGGCGGTCCCTTTTATAGCTGTCAGTTAACGGAATAAAGAGAAGGAACAGTAGGAACTGCACAAACGTCAATAAACGCACAGTTCTGCTGCAGGTCGATTCCATAATCGATGAACGGGGGAGTAGTAGTTTGATGGCGAGATTGATGATCGATGAGGCCCACTGACGTATAGGTGTCTCTACTCGCATATGCAAACAATTAAAATTGAATAACCCGAGGTCCAAGCATTAATATTTGAAGCCCTTAATTGAAAAAAAAAAACGATTGAAAAGCTTCACCGACAAAACCGCAGACTTGAATGAGGGGAAAATCTAGCGACGGATTTTATTTTTCCTAAATCCTCCAAAGCAAACACGCTTCTCGTTGCGACAACAAACACGTCGCACCGAAGAATGATTTTCCCATAGGTGTGAAAACTCACAACTCAAACAGCTGCGCTTTGGGAAGTACCTTTCAGCCACGCACAACGAGTTTGAAAGGAAATGCACTATTCATCCGTTTGGAGTGAACACTTCCAGCGCACTCCAGTGGAGAACTGTGTTAATCTCTGCACCGTCCGGACTGCTACCGCCGTGAGCCACACAAGCACATCTAGTCATCCCAAACAGCCTTTGGGCGGTGATTCCTACACTGCAAATGGAAAACTAACCAACCAAAAGAGAGGGCGCTTTGTAGGGCGACCACATTGCTGATTCTGGTTGTGCAAAACTTTTCCGGGCAAAACTTTCACATTCCTTCGCTAGTAGCGACTTAACGAACCCTGAAAGTGCCAACCCGGGTAGAGGTGTATGGGAAAATCAAATCAAAATAATAAAAAAATTGCTACCATATCTTATTGAGTTATTTGTATGTTATTCAATAAATCTTCATAATAACATACTGACAACATATTCTGGTATAATAACAGAATCTGCTATTCTTAAGATATTTTTAAACTTAAAACATATAATGTAAACTCGAGCAGAGAATGAAAGCAAAGTGAAAACAAAATTTGATACACAGCAAAAAAAAATGTAATATCGATCAACGTAATTCAAGCTGATGTATGAAATAATGATGTAATAGCAAAAAGCAGTTACAATTTTACATCAATGGATGTAATTTTGTTCGCAAAATCGATGTACATCGTACAATGTGATATTACACAACCGAGGGATTGACCTGGTTGCAGCAGTTTCGATGTAATATTCAACAACTTTTTTTGCTGTGTATAAGCATTCTTCATAATATGTTTTGACAACCGTGTGGTCGAGCTAACAGTAATCATAACAACATTGAGATCTAAATGGTATATGAAGCATATTAAATAGATAAAAAATCTAGCTTTCTTAATAACAAATCCACGTGTGTGTTTTTATATTGGTATTATCGTTAATAATAAATAATATAAGTAATCAATATGTTATTATTACTATGGCAGAAAAACAAAAAAAAAACATTTTTTTTATTAAGGCTTATTGCCACGGCTCCGCAAAGCTACAGTAAATGAGCCTGGAAAAATAAACGCATTATAAAAAAGGCTCATTGTCTGTAGCAGCTAAAAGCAGCCGAGGGACTAATATTCTTTACATTTAGGGGGATTGAGTAATTCATTTTTCTTCCCGTGGTTTTTCTTCTTCTGTTAAATCACTTTTCACTAATGTTAAATCACCATGATGAAACATAATATGATGTTTTTGGTAGCGAGCCCATTCAGCACCGCATTTTCGCCCGTTCAGGCGAAATAATATACCGGTTAAACTGGTAACCTTATGTCTTCGGTGGCTCGTATTCGGGTTTTTTCGTCATCATCATCATTTCCTCACATCATCATTTGTTTAGGTCATCAGTCAGTATCAGTAGCTCGATGTAAACGAACCTAAATTCATAAAGTTAAGATTTTCTGTGGTGAAATAAAAGGTGTGGAAGAACTCTTGTTCTTTAATTTTGTGCAACCGAAAATTGCAAGTGTGTGTATCGCTCTGGTTTTCAACACGTCTTGTCAGTGACATTCGAAGTACTGACATCTTTGCTCTTCTAAAGTGCATCTTATGCACTTTCTTCCCTGTGTGAACACTGGGACCATGCTGTGGCCACAATTCGCAAAGTGAGACACACCGTAGGAGTAAGTTTTGAATTTTTTTTTTGGTGTCGTGACCAGGATAAACGGCCAGGACCGCCATTATTCCAGTCCGGAACAATGGAAGACGTGCTGAACGCGCAATTGCTGTTCGAAGGTAAAGCACCTGCTAGCGGTCGATTGTTTCGAGTATTTCTGATTTGTATTTGATACAAGACTCGCTCAATCGGATTCCAGGTAATTACCCGTCCGATTCTTCCCACGCATCTCTCAGGCACGCTTTAGATCTTCGTTTCGTTCCGTTCAAGCACCTGTGTGGAAGGTTCGAGAACGCGATTGCCGCCATCCTTGATTGGGCCATCGGGCGCCATCTTCGAGCTGTTCGTTGTGTGGATCACAATACAGGTCCGCTACTGTTCTTCGACGGACAATTGAGGCTTTCTTCTGGAGCATTCTTTAGCACAATTTTTGCATCGCTACGCACGTGCATCTAGCATACAGTTGCGCATTCATCGCATCGATTTTCATCTCGGCGGCTGCTTCGTCGAATACCTGAAGATTTTGATTAAATCAAGGCACGCTAAGCCTTGGTCTAGGTGAGTACCTTTCCAAGCAAATATCTCTCTCTCTCTCTCTTTCTCTCTCTCTCCGGGTCTACCGTGGTCATTTTTTTGACAGTGCTCGTCATTCTTGGCTACATCCCGTTGGAGTTGGATTCGTCGCTGCACTATGGAAGAACCCAGCCCAAGTAACATTGCAAGTTTTATGGAGGTTTTTAAGGATGCTACAAGTCTAAATTATGGTCTACAAAACCCTTATAAAACCGAAATTGTTACTTGGGAAGAGCAACAACCAAGCGCTGCTTTCACGGAAGGCGTCTTCCCGCTGTTCTGGGTCGGGCAGAGGCATTTCTTGAGGCCTACGATGCTGCGAGGGACGCATGGCAGGTTCAGATTCGGCTGGACCACATAGAAAACAGGACGTGCAGACGGAGCTGGAGTCCATCGAGCTCGACGAAAAAGGTAAGCGAATGCATGATGAGGTACGTACTGAGGCTGTTTGCTATACAAGCCGATCTAACATCTAAACTTCCTGTTCTTTCTAAAGACGCTCAAATCCCTCAAGCTATTGGCCATAATTCCGCTTTCTCTGGGTTGAAGCTGCCGACAATTTTGCTCCCCGAGCTCCCCTATATGAAGTGGTTGGGTTTCCATGACACGTTCTTGGCTTTAATTCACGCAAATCCCAACGTGCCAGAAATTCAGAAGTTTCATTACTTGAAAGCCACAATGAAAGGGAAGCTGCACAGCGAATTGAAACGATCGCAATCAGTGCAGCGAACTACAACTTGGCTTGGGATACTTTGGTAAAGCGCTATGCGAACGATTATCTTTCGAAGAAGCGACATTTGCAGGCTCTTTTCATCGACACTGCACGCCTTGGTGGACGAGTTCGAACGCCACACGAAGACCTTGAGGCAGATGGGTGAACCTACAGGACAGTGGAGCAGCATTCTTGAGCATCTACTCTGTACTCGGCTACATGACGAAACTCTCAAGGCGTGGGAGGTGCACGCATCGACCGTGGAGAATCCGGACTATCCGTGCCTCATCGAATTTCTGCAGCGACGAGTACGTGTGCTGGAATCCATTTCAGTCAACAACCATGCTCCTCCATCCGTTCCAAGTTCGTCGCATCATGGGGCAACACGGCAGCAGCAGTTTCGGCTTACTTCGTGTGCTTCTACTACCAAAGCGGGACTCAAATGTCCAGTATGCTCGCAAGAGCATAACATCAACAGGTGCCAAATGTTCCTTGGCCTATCGGTGGCACAACGTCAGCAACTTGCTATGAAGAAGCGACTATGCCACAACTGTTTGAAAGGAGAACACATAGCGAAGAATTGTTCCTCCGACTTCAACTGCAAACATTGCAATCTTGCATGCCGGTACTAGCGATGGAACCCACGAAGCCACTACTGACGCACCCGTCCCGAGTACATATGCTGTGGTACTGGCTCACCAAAATCGTCCAACTTCTTCCATGGGGAATCCCATACAATCTGCGGTCGCAGCTATCGAAAATGTTCCAGATTCGCATATTCATCTTGGTGAACATCGTCCACTGCTTGTGAAAAGCGTCTTCGGATGGGTGGTAACCGGTTCTGCACTAACACAGCCCAATCAATCGCCCACTCCATATTCTCTCTCGTACAGTATGCTGAACGTCTCGATGGTAACGCTAGAGGAAAACGGAGGACCTGCCAATGAAGGACAATTATTCGGTTGAGGAGCGCTACTGTGAATCCCTCTTCAAGTCCACGACGACCCGCACCGCTGAGGGTCGTTACATGGTTCGACTGCCACGAACAGGGCTGTAAAATGTCATTTTCAATGAAAAATCTCACGTGATATTTACAGAGATACTTCTGTCACTATCATCGGATGAGAAAACGATGATAGAGATTCTTTTGAAAATCTCATCGAATTTTTTGTCATGACAGAACGTGACCTTGCGTGACAGTGTTGTGGTCATCGTAATATCTAGCTCATTTATTGCTATTAAAGTTACTTGTACCGAGAAAATCTTTGAAATATATTCACTCTACCGATTACATACGGTTGATTGCTTAAATTCATCTAAATCAGTTAGAAATCTTGATGTCAAAACCGCATAAGAATTATTCTCATGAGTGCTTGATCATTGGAAAATGACAAGAAATCTCGTGATAGGTAGTTTCGTCTCGTGATAGTGAGAGAACCTGTTTTCTCACTGTCACATGACGGCCGTGATATTTACCAGCTCTGGCCACGAAAACCTGAATTCGAAGCTTTGATGGGAGAGTCTCAGATCAACGCCTATCGTCGATACGGAATGCTGGAGCGGAGATTTGAGAGGAGCCCAAAGGATTACCACAAATTCTTGAAGGAGTAACTGTCCCTCGGCCATATGCGGTTGGTCGAGTCCGATAACGAAGGCAATTCTACAGCATACTATCTACCACACCATACCGTGCTGAAGGAGTCAAGCACAACAACGAAGCTCCGAGTGGTGTTCGACGGCTCGGCTAAAACCTCGACTGGCCACTCGCTCAATGAGGCGCTCGGTGTAGGTTCTGTAGTGCAGGATGACCTCATAACGATTCTTTTAAAGTTCCGCACCTTCTTGGTTGCACTTGTCGCGGACATCGCAAAAATGTACAGACAAGTTCTGGTACACCCTGAAGACACCCATCTGCAACGCATCCTGTGGCTACTTACCCTTACTTACGGTCTTGCCGCTTCGTCGTTCTTGGCAATCCGTGTGCTTCAGCAGCTAGCTATAGATGAAAGCGATGCATTTCCTCTCGCCGGACCAGCGTTGCGAAAAAGCTTCTACGTAGATGACTTCATCGGTGGTGCCAATTCCATAGAAGAAGCGATCAGTCTCCGTGAGAAGATTTGATGCAACGGGGTGGATTCGACTTGCGTAAGTGGACGTCCAGTCGTTTCGAAGTTCTTCAGGGATTGGCCAAAGAGCACACCGGCATTCCAGAGTCCATTAAGGCACTAGGAATCGTCTGGGAGCCCGAAAATGATGCCTTTCGATTGGATTCAGCGATCCAGCCACGTGACGCTCCACCTACGAAGAGATCGATACTATCGCTGTTTGACCCTCTAGGACTGATAGCTCCTGTAGTCGTACGTGCAAAAATCCTTATGCAGGAGTTGTGGTTGATTTCTTCGAATTGGAACGAACCTGTTCCCGATTCCATTCGCATCAGATGGAAGAGTATTTGCAATGAGTATCCCCTCATCTCATCTTCCGAGCTGAACGCTACGCTTTCACACCTTCGCGAATGCATCGGAATCGGCGTACGGAGCATGTACTTACACTCGCTGCGAAAATGACCAGGGAGAAGTGTCTGTTCAACTGCTCATGTCAAAATCGAGAGTATCACCTCTCAAGCGTCTAACCATCCCTTGCCTGGAGTTGTGCGCCTCTGTCCTTGCAGCGCACTTGTATCGCCGTATCAGACAAGCCATCGACATTCCCATTTCTGCAGCGTTCTTCTAGTCCGATTCTGCTGTCACGCTGCAGTGGCTTCGCTCTCCACCCAACGTTTGGAAAACCTTTGTCGCCGTTTTGGATGCCAGTGGAACCATATTCCCGGGGGTGGAGAACCCTGCTGACCTAGTGTCCCGAGGTCTTTCCGTTGGAGAATTTCTGCGCAGCGATTTGTGGAAACGTGGGCCGTCATGGTTATCCAAACAATCGAGTTCCTGGCCAATATCAAGACCACCAGACGTTCCTGAAGCAGCACTTGAGACAAAGCAAACCGTCGCAATCGTTCAATCGTTTGTGCACACTGGGGCCGTGCTGTGGTCACAATTCGCAAAGTGAGACACAACGTAGGAGTAAGTTTTGAACACACCATCTGGTATGTCTGGTGGCAGATCGTACACTCGCACGTATTGCACGTTGCCCTTGGCAAGCGACATTTGTATCTAAACTGCCTTTCCATTAGCATATTGGAAAGTTAGTTGCTCCGGGTTATGTACCTGGACAAATGCATACTTGCTTCAAATTTAAGCTTTGTGAAGATCTCTTTCTTTTCAGCAATTTGATAGAATAGCGATTTGATTTGGCACCATGATTCGCATCCAACGAAGTTTGCAATCTCGCCCATGTTTGACCTTGAACTGCCATCGAGATAGGAAAACATAAATTTTGCTTCATTTCGACCATTATTATCGAAAAATTTGCTCCAACAGCGACGACAAAGAGCTGCAGGGAATTGACAAAGCGCACGAAAACAATACCGTGACCGAGTAAACAAGCGGGAGAAACCAGTTTTGTTGTGCCCACAGCCGAAAGCAAACTGATGTATGTGATCGATCAACTCTTTTATAATTACAGAGGAGCTTAGGAATGAACCCATGATTTTCTGTCCAGTAAGCAAAAACGGTAACCAGAAGGACACCGAGCTCCTTCATTAAAAACAAACTGTGTAACTGATGTGTGTTCATTCAATTCTTTTACATAACATATGGGTCATTCCAGCTCAAGTGGGTACAGAATAAAAAAAAAATTGTGGTTGATGTCACCGATTTGAGCCAAACTTGGCCAAAACGCTTATTTGGGCATTCTGAGCAAACGCCTTTTTATATTTTACTCTAAAGTGCCCGAGATTTAAAAAAATTTCATCTCTCAGAAGAGATTACTCCACAATCAAATAAGCTATTCGTGAACTTAGAACGTCAATTTAGAGGTTTTTTAAATGTAGGTGTACCCACATTTTGTTTTTGTTATAATGACTAGACCGGCAGGTATCCACATTGTCAAAAATAGGCTATTTTCTCCATGGGTGGGATTTTTTATTTCTTAAAATTTTGGGCTCAAATGTTCACAATACTTTGGAAAACTCACCATAGGCAATTTTAGACAATTTGGATACCTGCCAGTAATCAGCCTGTTTACTGTAGTGACTAACACAAAAGCAAAATATGGGTACATCTATAAGAATCTACATTAAAAAATCTTCAAATCGACGTTCTAAGATCACGAATAGCTTATTTGGTTGTGGAGTAATCTCTTCTGAAAGATGAAATTATTAAAAATCTCGAAAACCCAGGGTTATAGCCGAGAGGGATGTAGGCACATCAGAGCAAAACCAAATAAGGTGTTTGTTCAGAATGCCAAAATAAGCGTTTTGGCCAAGTTTGGCTCAAATCGGTGACATCGACCACAGGTGGTGTACCCACTTGAGCTGGAATCACCCATATAAGATTTTCAATTTGTGCATAGTTTTGCCCTTTGGTTCAGTGAGGGTTAGGGCGCGTTCTGCCAGGTTGGTTGATGCAGATTTCATCTGTGAGTAAGTGATGAACATTGTTATGTGCAATTCACTGTAAAAGGTGCGTTTCATATATCATCACATGTAGTTCCAAAGAGCCTGAACGAAATGTGGCGCTTGCGAAGATCACTTGAAGATACGATATGATGGAAGATTGATACTAATTATATATAACACAAGTAAATTCTTACAGAAATTACTTATGATAGCATATTGAAAAATGTGTGAATTGTTAGTGAACAAATGTAATGTTGTATTGAAATACTTTAAATCGTGTTAAATTAAAATGTTCCCTTATTCCACATCCGTTGAATCATTCTGAACGGCCATTGCTTTGTGGTTATATCACATCATTGCTTATAATGTATATGTCTATATATTTTCCGGTACCATGGAGTCAACAAAGTAAAAGTGAAAGAAGAGCTGCAAAATGGAGCACATGCGATACGACAATGGAGTGATGCTCGTTAAGAAAATACCCGGAGAATCTGTTCATTGTTCGCATTGGTGTTACGGTTTTAGAAGACGCAACTAGGAACTCAAGCTCATCATACAGAGATAATGGACGTCGAAATATCATCACAAACACATCATAAATAACATGGTAGACTTTCGGGAAACTAGTAGCGGCTAGCAGTGATGCAGAAAATGACAACGAGTTCACAAATAGGCACGAAAATTGGACAGAACAGTGAAGTCGATGTTTCTTCACTCTTCTGTCCAATTTTCGTAGGTGAGACCGTTTTATATTTTAAATTTTTATTATTGCTCATAAATAAAAAAAAACAATGCTGGGATTGGGAGGGAGCATTAGGGCAACCAATTGAAGCGATTTGGACGGGGAGAGTGGGGATTCCAACTCGCTGTTGATAACATTTCGTGGATAAAGGGCGGTTTCTTCTCCCCACTCATTGGGGTATCCTTCTGTCGGCTCGTTATTTGACCAAATGTATGATCATGTGGCTGGAAGGAGATTCTCTACCATCCCGTGGAGACGTATAGGTGAATTTACCTATCGATCCACCATACCCGTTTTTGGCCCTTCATACAGTAACATGTTGAGGACAATCAGAGGTTATTAAGCTTGATCAAATCAAACAGTGGGGTGCGCCCACTGCT